CAGCCCGGCTCCGAGCCCTGTCCCTCCCATTAGCACCASGGCTTCTGCTTGCCCAGAAAAGAGCCGCAAGGCTCCGGGGCAAAGGGCTGCTTGCGCGCGACTCGGTAACGACCGGTTCTGCAAAACCTCGCGCCGGCGCTTGTAAATATAGAAAACTTCTAGGAAATGYGCGGCCTTGGGCTGCAGGGACGTGGCGTTCCCCGGCACGGCCCCAGCGTCGCCCTGGCCACCCACCTCCAGCGCCTCCCGCAAGGCCGCTCTGCTCCCTTCTTCCTCCGATTAGCCAAGGACCCCGGTAGGGATCAGGTATCCAGGTTTGGCCATTCCCGGCACCGGTGCTTTGCTCCAAGCTCTGCTGCCAACGAGCCWTGGAGAGGCGAAGGGAAGCGCCAGGGCTGATTTCTGCAGAGCAGAGAGGAGGGGAAGGCTGGAAAGGGAAGAAAACAAGCGGGAATAAACCTGCCTGTGACAAAGCTGTAGTCCGCATTGAAACTTCGACATTTGGAGCTGATTTTGCCATCAGAGCAGAGCCTGCGGGTGGGACGGGCGCGAGGTGGAAGTGCCGCCGTGCCGGGCGCCACGGGCCGCCCCGCGCCCGCTCCTGCTGCCGCCGCCGCTCTCCGGCCTCCCCTCGGGTCGCTCGCCTGCACCCGCTGCTCTGCGTGCTCCCCGTTTTCTAAATCCCCCCTCTTTGCATATAGGGAGAAAAAAAAAAGTTATTTCCCTTGCAGCATCAAAGTTTTGCACTAATTTCAACTTATTTCCATGCGTGGGGGAAAAGATTCCCCTCTGCGCGATGCAGATGCCGTGGAGATGCACGGCGGTGCAGCAGAGCTGCCCGGGTGCCATCGCGGATGGCTCTGCCCCAGTTTCCCACTGCCTTCCTCTTGCTTCCCTCCCTTGCTCCTCTTTCCATTGTCTTTCCCCTCGCACTAGTTCTCTCCTATCTGGCATTTTCCTCGCTGTCCCCAGACAACCTCTTTTACTCGCTCTCTTCTCCAATAACCCCAACCCTCCTTATTGTTTCCAGTGCCTTTTCTGTCGTTTTGCTCCCCCGAGGCCCCCGGGCCGCTGCTCCGTGCTGGGGTCCCGCTCCCAGCCGCGGCGCTCCCAGCCCCGCGGGGCCGGAGCTCGGGATCCCGGCCCGTCGGGCCCGCGCGGCCGCCGGAGAGGCCGACGATGGCCTCACACCAGCGGCTTCGCCGGAGCACACGTGGTCCGTGGGAGCACAGAGCAGCCACGGATCCGGCCTTTGATGCAAATAAGAAGCAGCCACATGGCACGAAGCACTTGGGAGCACTTCAGGCTGAAAGAAAAAAAAAAAAAGAAAAGGAAAGAAAAGAAAAAGATGCAGCTGTGAAGAATACAAATATTGGCTCCTGGAGGAAGCCTCCACATTGTAACCATTATTGCAATCTATTTCTTTGTTCAGGGCTGATGCTCTCCCTTTGAGATTGTCACGGGTCTAATTTCTGTCCTCGGAAAAGAGCCGAGAAGGTCCAAGCAGCCGTGAGATTCCCTGCCTGTGGAAGCTGCAAAAGCCCCATCCTCCATGGGCTTGATCACTGCGTGGGAGAACCTGCTGGGAAAATGAGTACGGGAAAAGAAGGTGAGAAGAGGAAAGTGAATTGCCCCGTTGGAGATGCGGAATGGAGACTGGTGACCCATCAGGAGCTGTTTTGGGGTCCTCACCCAAAGGCTTCTCTGCAACCCAGGGCTGAGTTGGCCAAGCTGCAGTCACCAGCAGCAGGGGAGCCGCAGGAGAGCCCTGCAAGCCTGGCACCTTGATGCAGAAAAGCTCCATGTTGGCTCCACTTGCAGTTCATTCCTTGTGTCGTGTTTAGCTGTGAGGGACGGGGCAATGTTGCCCATCAGGAGACGCCGCTGGAGCAGAGTCCCCAGAGCAGCACCAGAAAGAGCATGAAGTGACCACGAAGTGACCGTCTTTGCTTGTGAACATCCTGCACTCTGCGAGCGCAGAGCACTCAAAAAATAAATATTTGCACTGCGAATAATCTAGCAGGACTCGTTGCCCCAGTAAAGCCACCTGCAAGCGGCAGCCCCAGCGCGCGGCCTCGCTGTTTATCCCAGCTGCGCGGCCAAGAACGAGCACTCGGAAGGCACATTTGGAAGAAACGTGGGATTCTCATTTCAGAAATACGAGGCAACCGGTTCTTGCCTCCCGTGTCGGCCCTTTGGCTCCCGAGGGCGCGCTGGGTGCGGGACGTGACGTGGCAGCGGGTCCCGGTGTCCCCACGCAGCCCCGTGTCACCACCAGCCCTGGATAAACAGCTCTGCGCTTGGAGCGGTCTGCAGCAGAGACAAGCACGAAGCCGGGGACTCTGCACCTTAACTCCCTGCTGTCGCTGTCTTCTTTGTGGGTATTTTTTAAAGTGCAGGGAGGATTGAACAGTTTTAAGTGGGCAATATATCCTATTTATATTTCTCCCTTGCAGCCTTCGTTCAACTCTCACCACATCCATCTAACCGGAGAAGAGTCGCGTTGCCAGCCCGACGTCCCCTCGGCCACAACGAGCTGTATTCAGCGTCTCCCACTGCAACGCTGCYGCGTTCACAAAACTATCCAGTAGAAATAAATGGGGAAAAATAAGGAAAAGCAGGATATGTAACCCRGCTGGGGGGTTCAGCTCCCCAGGCAGAGGGCACCCAGCCGGGCTCTCCTTGCCAAAGCTGCTGCCATCGGTGCCTTTATCTTCCTGCGAAGCTGGTGCAAAGCCTGGGGTAGGTTTGCTAGCCCATAGGCCTGGTTGTGGGTGTGYGGCTGGACCTGAGGATCTTGAAGGTCTTTTCCGACCATAATGGTTCTGTGATTCAAGGGCGCTGGCTCCGCTCGTCCCTGCGGCGGGAAGGCCAGAGCAGCGGCGCTGCCAGGAGCTCAGCACACACCCGCTTCCCAGCAAGGCTGCAAGGACCCAGAATATTTGTCTGCACACGTGGATGCTCACAGAGCTGCAATTAGTCATTTAGGAGAGCTGAAGTTCAGTCTCCAAACTCGCAGCAACAGGAGATGCATTTGTAGGTCCGGGATAGCTGGACACAAACCGCTGCAATCACTTAGTTGCCCTGCATTCCTACCAGCATTTTATTATACAGACAGGATTTTAAAATCTCCTATACTTTCCTTCATCCTTACCCTTTTTAATTATTATTTTTAATAATTTCCTTGCAATCAGATCATCCCCTCTGCTGTCTGGGAAGGATACAGAGTGCAGCGCTGCCCCTCCAGCTGCAGGGAAGCCACCCCTCTCCTCATGTCAGATTGCATTGAAAACAGGGAAGAAAAATGCTAAATTGGGATTCACAGGATTACTCCTGCARACTGAGTCCCTGCGGGTGCATCACCCTTAAAGCAGGAAATTTCCATTCAGTGAAACCCCTTGAGGATCCTCGTGCATTAAACCATTTAAATCGTTACCTCTTGCATCTCAGCCCTGTGTGTGTCTCCCATAAAGCCGCGCAGAGCAAGCGACCGCGGCCGCAAGCTCTGGGCAGCCTCTGCATCCCTCTGTGAGCAGCTAAGCACTAGGTGACACCCTTGCACCACAAATCGCAGCGTATGCACCAAAAACCCCACGCACAGATCCAAGGCCGGAACTCTGCACCGCRGCGGCCCTTTTTTGGCATTTCTGCAGTCGTGTCGTTCCCCGGCACCGCGTCCCTCCGGTTTCGCTTCCCGYTTCCCGGCTGTTTGCTTCCGTGCATGCGAGAGCCGCCGCTTGCAGTGACCCAGCAGGTGACACCTCTCCCGGCACAGGTTGCACCTTGTGCAATGTCACTTCACCSTCCTCCCTCTGCCGCCAGCACCCACCAGTGTTAACTTCTATCTGTCCTTAAAAGGCGGAGCAGGTGCCCAGGTGCTGCAGGAAGCTGCGTCCTGCCCAAACCCTGGATCACGGCACAGCTGCTTCAGTTCTGCAATCCTTGGCTTCCTCACTGGAAAAAAACACCCCGATATTTCTCTTCCCCTTCCCATTGTCTCATTAAAAAAAAAAAAAAAAAAAGACATTTAGTGCAATAAAATGGTTGGTAACATGTTTATATATTACATATAGCTTTACTGTACAATGCACAATAGTTTAAAAATTGGGGAATGTTCATTTTGTTTCTATGTATTCAGAAGCCCAGTTTTCCAAGGCGAATTCTATTTACAGATGCGCGATGCCCTTATGCTCTAAGACACATTAATGGTACCAGTGGTGACACTCCAGAGGTCTAAGCCAGCGTTGCTCGCGTTCCCCGGAGCAGCCAGGACCAGCAGGGCTGCAGACTCACGGGCTTTCCACAATTTACAGACTCCTAGCATTTTCCAAAGAGGCTTTTCAGTGCTTCATAAAAACTCACAGCCACCAATTAATTTGCAGCTGAATTTATTTTTCCCCGTGCCTTTTGACGACTCAGAAGACACCTACCCTTTTGTACAAGTGCAAAGCTCACTTCTGCCAAGCAGAAACCCCTGCCACGGAGCCAGACCCTTCTGCTCACTCTCATTTTACAGGGCCACAATTTTCTCGATGTTATTTGAATAAAGAAGCGTCGCAGAGACCACAACATCCAAACATGCTTTTTGCTATTAATCCCTGTTCTCCAGTCTGAATGCTAAGCTTGGTCCTCTTATTGGATCACACATCCCAACATTGCTGCATCCCCTGAGAGGAGGGGAGCTTGGCGCTGTTTTGGTGGGTTAACCTGAAAAACACAGGAATTTCTTTTTCTTTTTTTTTTTTTTTTTCTTTTTTAATCTTTAAGATTTGGAAGTTTCTATTTACACAGGAAACACGGCCCAAACCTTCTCCGTGAAACATGCTCCATGGTTCAGTCTTGCGTTGCCCCGGCTCGTCACTGACGGGTGGTGCTGCCGTGGGCCTCCTCCCGTGGGGCCGGGGCTGCATCTTCTCCACCAGGTACCGGAAGGACGGACTGTCCTGCATGAGGCCAACCCAAGCCAACCCGCTCCGAGGAGACGTCCGTGGGGCTTCATGTAAAGGCCGTTGATGCCGATGCTCCCGCCGAGGGGCTGGACGCGGCTGTGGGCTCTGTCTGGGCTTGCCCCGGCTCGAGGAGCCCGTGCTCCTCATCACCTCACAGTCCCAGCCCCATTTCCAACTAGCATAAACTAGACTGTCCACTCTAATTATTATATACCTAATTGCGACAATGATTTACGGGCTTTGTTCATCGTCACTGAAACAGTTTTGTGATCTTGGTTGTCCATTTGAGATCCCGCAGGAAAACTCAACGCTCTACGAATGGCCCTCCGTCGCRTTCCCATTTACCTTTTGGCTTTCTCCAAAGGGTTCCTCATCCCTTTCTTTGATGGAGAACTTTTTCCTGAAGGCCTGCGTTATGCTGGAGGAAGAGACCTTCCTAAATGTGGTGAGTCTCTTCCGAAAGTTGCCCCCCGAAAAGAAGTAGAGGAGCGGGTCAAAACAGCAGTTGGATGCTGCCAAGGGCAGCGTGACCACCACAGCCTTCTGCAGGTAGATGGCATCCTCACAACTGGCGTTCTTCAGCCTCAGCACGTGCAGATGGACCGTACGCAGGATGTGGTAGGGGGTGAAGCTGACCAGGAAGGTAGCCGTCACGATGATGATCATCCACACGGCCTTCTTGCGGTTGGCCTGGTTCTTCTTCAGGGAATTTTTCAGCAGGGTCCGTATGATCATGGTGTAGCAGATGGTTATGACAACAAAGGGCAAAATGAAGCCCACAAACAGGGCAATAAAATCCAGGATCACGACGAGATTTGTCTTCTGGGAGTTTTCRGGGGGCTCGAAGCACTTGGTCTTGTTGCCGTGTTCGTAACTCCCGTTGCGCAGGAAGGGAGCGCTTGTCAGCGTAACAAAGATCCAGATGCCAACACAGACCAGCTTGGCCTTCTTCTCCGTCACCAGGTTGATGTTCTGCACTGGAAAAACGATGGCTATGCAGCGAAAGAAGCTCATCGCGGTCATGAAGAAAATGCTGCAGTAGAGGTTGACGTAGAGCGCGTAYGAACTGATCCTGCACAGCAAATCGCTGAAGAACCAGTTTCCCTTGTGCACATAGTAAACGACCCGAAGGGGCAGCGTGCAAACACACAGAAAGTCGGAGACGGCCAGGTTGAGCATGTAGATCTGGAAGGCTGTCTTCTGCCGGTAGGTCTTGATGAGCACRTACAGGACGACGCCGTTGCCCACGAAGCCCATGATGGAGATCATGGAGTACAAGGTGGAGTACACGCGGTTGCGGAAGTCGTCGATGGCGTGGTGGCACGACAAGTTATCGGACAGGATGCTCATGTCTCCCACGTGACGATTGGTCCTGACTGGCAGTGAATTTGGGGCCTAAGGATGAAAGAGTGAGGTGAGTTTTATTATAAAGCGCAGCGCATACAAATAAAACAAAATTATTAAATAGGAAAAAAGACGATACCCCTCTCTTTTAAAGGGGACAGCAGCTAGGAAGGGACGTAGAGCTTCCTGTACCTAATATATTACATACAGACCTAATATATGAGATATACATTACTATCACTATGGGTAGAAAAGCTGTAGTTGTGGCTCCTAAGCTCTGGAAGAGAGGTCTCGTTTTCAGAAGCCCTCAGCAGCGGCTGCATCCTTCGTGCCCGCCGTGCCAGCGAGGGTTCCTCCGGGGCAATGCTTCCGCRTTGCTCCGCGGCACTCGCAGCCAGACCCCATTTTTAACTTGCTGCGTTAATATCGACACTCAGCTAGGAGCTTCGCGCTGAGCAACGTTCACAGCGGTGCCTTCCAAAGTGATCGGAATTTGSTTTTCAGGTCCGCTCAGCCATCCTTTTGGGAAGATTTCCCCTGTCATTTAAGGATCCATTTGCAYGCAAATCCTAATTTGGATTTGCTTCAAGGAAAGCAAGAGCAAAATATCCCCTCACATACTTTCCTCATTCACTGCCATTATCTCATAATTCAGATAAATGATCTCAGATTGCAAGGAAGATTCTGTAAAACTCCGATCGTTGGAGCCCATACAGGCGAAAGCGGGGAAATAGGGTGTTAGGGGGAAAATAACAGGAAGCAACAGGATGAAGGTAGCAGCGGGGTTATGAGACACGCACTGCGGATGTGCTCAACCCAGGGCACGCGGTTCCATCAAGGAGAGCAGCCTGGCAGTGCTGGGGATGCGCTGGGGATGCAGCGGGATGCTCCAGCCTTCAGGCAAGCCCCAGCTCTAGGAAAACCTGCAGTCTGCAAATAACCACGTGGACACTCTGCAAGGTGCAAAACACATTAAAGTTCAGCAGACGTCAACGAGGCAGCGCAGAGGTGACGGGAAGCAAAGTCCACTGCTGCAGAAGATGCTTTTTCCCCCTTTCTGACTTCTTGTGGGCAGGGAGGCCGTGCGAGCCAGGGCTCATGTGGTGGCACGAAGCTCTCCAAGCAAAGCAGGCGATGGGGCTGCAATACCTCTTCACAACCCGTTATCTTGCCGCAGGGAGAGGCCAGGAGTTTACCGACACGTATTTGCCCATTCCCGCGTGGCCAGATCCTGGAGGCAGAGCTCCGGCTGGCCGCGGAGCAGCGGCAGCGCCGAGCACCACCTGAGCGCGGGCGAGATGCTGCTGTCCAAATCAGCTCAGGAAAACCGGCCCGATAAAATCTGCATACTTACCAAAGCAGCACATATCAGCTCTTTCTCAGACTTAAAGAAAAAAAAAAAAATCGAGATGTTTGTGATTATGAGGCCGGTAGAAGCTCTTTTGCATATTGGGTTTCCCCCCCATTTTGAGGCAGATATGAGCCTTGCACAGAATGAACAGAAAAGGGGACAAACCAGGCTGGGTGGACAGCACAGGTAGACCAAGAAAGGCTCACGTAAAAGCAGGGATATCACTCAAAACCCTGGGAAAGGCTTGAAGAATCAGTCTTTCAGATCAGTCCTTCAGATGTTCTTTTGAAAAAAAGCCAGCAAACAGCACGCAGCCCTACAGAGCAGGACTTCAGAAGACATCTTCGTCCTGATACCCATCAGGTTTCTTAACCAAAGCGAAAACTGATGCAATTGATGCAAACAGTTGTTAAAAAAAAAAAGAGAAAAAGTTTCCCGGACGGGGCTCTGAGTCGGGTCTGCCTGGTGTCAGACGGCGATGAACAGCAGCTACGAATTTTATTTGTCCGGGAGCAGGTTACTGAACTGTTTATTTATGGGCTTGTGCATGGAGCTGACGGGGAATGTACACACTGACGGCAGATGGAGGAAAACCACCTGCGTCGCGGCTGAACCCCCAGCGCTGGCAGCGCTGCGCTCCGCGGGCGCCGAGGTTCACGCGGCACAGCGGGGTTTGGCACGGGTCAGCTGCACATATCGCTAAAATCTAATGATGCCCCCCAAAAAAACCCAAAACCATCGTGCCACCACAGAAACGACCCTGCTCCCACTAAATTGAGCGGCGTGAAGCCGCGGCAGTTTTGGGACGGACCTGATGTGCGGGGAGGGAATCGCCCCGTGAAGGGCCCAGGGCGCTCGGGGGGTCCCGGTGCCGCCGCGCGCCCCGTCGGGCGGCCCCGCGCTGCTCCCGSGCATGGGGAGGGACGGCGGAGGGTCGCACCGGCGGGGGGTGAGGGGGGCTCTGCGGGCCACGCGTGTCCCCGCGCCCCTCGGGCCGCAGTGCCACTTACCGCAGCGTGGAGCGGGGCGCGGGCGAAGGCGGCGCTGGGCGCGGGCGGCCCCTCCGGCGCCCTTAACTGCGGAGCGGCCCGGGGAGGGGCCTGGCCCGCCCGCCCCGGCCCCGGGGCCGCCCCCGCGCCGCCCCCGCCGCTTCCCGGGGCTCGGCACCCCGGGCATCCCGCGGGAGGCTCCTCCGAGCGTGCCGGCCCCGCGCGGACCCCCGGCGCGGGCAGCTGGCCCGGCGGCCGCAACCCCCCTGCGGAGCCGCTTGGCCAAACTTGGGGTGTTTTGGCCAGAACCGGCCCTGTTTTGGTGGCTGGTTTCTGGTTGGGTGTCTGACCCTATTTTGAGTTTCTGACTCTCTTTCCAAGCCCTGCCAGGATGTTTGCACAGCTCCACCCTGGCGCTTTCCAGATCTCTTCTTATCCGCGCAAATCACCTCGACAAGAACCTCCCACCCACGCGCTGAGAGGGTGGCACAAACCCCCCACATTGGGCATCACCCCCCGGACACCCACATTGCTGGCCATGGTTCGTGCCCTGCAGAGCTCCCTGCCGCTCCTGCCCTGGAGCAGGAGGCGAATGCCAATAAGGATGCATGGAGACACTGGGACGCTGCCAAGGAGTGACTCGGGGGCGCTTCTGGGACCAGGGAAGGTGCCTTCCTTCCCTGCGATTCCAAAGGACATCTGGTACTGACTTACGGGACTCTTAATATTAATGCTTAGCTCCTCGTGGGGAAAATAAATTATTTCTCAAGTAAATATTAGTGCAGTTCCATCAAATTCAGGGCTCACTTCCAAAGCTGCAGGCCCAGAATCAGGCCGACAGCCGTGGGATCACGTACACGCTGTCCCTGCACAGCCTCCTGCCCCCGGGACATCCCTGCTGGGCTGTCCCCCTCCTCCAAGGGGACATTTGTGTGCGAGGGGTCCCCTGCACTTCACCACTCAGCAGCCCATTCCCCAGTGCCTCCTCACCCGTGGGCGTGCCGTGATGCCTGGGTGTGGGAGCATCCCGGATTCCTGCAGCGCTGAGGGGYTCCCAGCTCTCTGCTCGGTGTCCATGGGGTTCATGGGCATGTGCACGGGCTGCAGCGCTCGCCCGGGTGCTGCGTGGGGCTGCAGAGCTGCACCCGAACCCCCTCGCTGGCCGCTCCATCGGCACCGCTTCCAAAAGGGCCCGGCTTGCACCTCTTGCCGCTCTGAACACTTTAAGTGAAAGGAGAAATAAATGCCACTGTGGTGATAAACAGTATTGCTCTCAAGGAAGGAGGCACCAGTGCTGCCCTGGATGCCTGTTTGGAGGCATCTGCCGCATTATTGCATATCCTGTAGGGACCGGATCCTTGGAGTTCGCTATCGTGCATTTATTGAAGTGTCTCTGCGAGCTGCAAGCTGCCACTTACCGTTTCCTTGCTCTCCCTGGTGCCTCTTTCCCTGAGGTCTGTGTCACATCTGCCGCTGGCGTCTGCGATGTCCCTGGAGCAGACGAGCTCTTGCTTTGGGCTGCCCGTGGTGCCGTGCAGGTGACGTTGCCCTTGTGCAGGATCAGTGCGGGATGGGGAAACAAGAGCCGTGCGGCCGCGTGCTGGGAACGGCCGAGAGCATCTCAGGCCCTCGGGAGGCCTCTGCTCCTCCCTGCTGCTCGCACCAAGTCGCAGGGAGCTGCTCAGCGCTTCCTGCCATCCGCTCCCAACAACTGAGGCTGCCCCTTCTCCGTGTGCCACGAGCCACCGCGYGTCGCCTCCCACTCCTCCGAGCCTGCCTGGGAGGTCACTTCAGCTGTGCCCTCCGTTTTGCCATTCCTTCTGCTTTTTCATGGCTCACTTTTGTCATTCCTTCTCCTTTTGTGCTGCTCCTTCTCCTTTTCCTTTCCCTGCAGCGCAGCGAGGCCGTGCTGAGCTATTGGCAGAAGATGCTGGGCTCAGGGGCAGGAGCTGAAAGCACAACTGTGCTCGGAAGGGGAAATGCAGCCTGGAAAGGGGAGCTCCGAGACAGCAGGGAGGAGAGGACGTGAGAACCTGTGACTTCGGGGAAAGACAGAGCAGAGGAAGACGAGGCACCTCCCGAAGGAGGTGAGAAACCTCAGTGTTGGAGCATGAGCAAGCGGTAGAGCTTGAGAGAGGAGGAACAAGAGCAGACCTCGCGTTCTGGTGGTGGTGACAGGGACGGCTGGATGCTGGAGGGACAGAGGGGAAGGAAGGGCTCGTTGGGAGAGGGATTGGCTTGGAGCCTGCTTTAACACGGCGTCTGATGGGCTTCTAACCTGGCATGCAGTGATTTCCCAGCTCGCGTCCCACGCTGCTGGAGCTCGGGCTAGCTCAGGGATGACTCAACTTCTGGGCAGGCCGGGGAGGGTTTGCACCTCCGACAGGGGCTTGCACCGCTGCCAACTGCCACGTCTACTGCCGCCTTAGTGCCAGCGGTGCCCACCGGTGTCTCCTGCCACAGGGAAACCCGCAGGAAAGCTTCAGGCCTTGAGGCGGTCTGCAAGGATGCAGCACAGCTGGAAGGCGGGTGTGACCGGCGCCAGATGTGCCAGAGCAGCTCCCGGACAATCAAGCAGACGGGGACGGCACCGTGGCAAGGGCCGGAGTCAGGGCCCGAGACTCAGACGTTCTGCACTGGGAGACTGGCAGAGCTGGCAGGGCCGCGGGTGCTCGCGGGCAGCTCGACG